ATGCATCCATCCATCCATCTTGCCTTCTTTTCTTCCCTCATTCATATATACACTGCATAGACGACTAGTATTTTCATAACATAAAAGTCAACGATATTCCTTACCTTGCTCGATTATTTCCTTGAGCGACTCTTCACATTTCCCCTTCTCTTTGGTTTCAACTGAAAGGAGTTCTTCAACTTTGGCAGAATCTTCTTGCTCCAGAGAAGAGTAAAAGTTGCAAGGACCTGGAAGGTCTGCTCCAGAAATCTTTCCAACGGAATGTGTATCAGCTAAATTGTGCCTAAAGGAACGTTTTTTTGTGCCTTCAAAAGTAACGCATTGAGCAGCCGCTGTGCGACTGGTAGTGCTAGCAAGGTTTTTCTTCACTGTCGGTGGTTCAAGAAGAATGGCATTGGTCTTAAAACCGTCAACATCAATGATCTTATCCTTAGCCTTTACATCTATCTGCCCTGTCATTCCTCTGTCCTTAACACCTCCTTGAACTCGCTTAGAAGCAAAGGAAGTAGATTCCCTAGTCTTGGGCTTCGATGACAGTGAAGTATGAGTAGTGCTGGAATCTACTGAGTCATCCTTGCGGAGCTTGAGCTTAAGGGATGCCACTGGGGTCGTTTTGGTCACTTCTTGAGCAACACTTTCTTTCTCTTTCCTTGGAGACATTTGCAGGGATGACACTCCCTTTCCGTGAATGTCTACAGAGTCATCTTTGCGGAGCTTAAGCTTAAGGGATGCCACTGGGGTCGTTTTAGGACCTTCCACTTCTTTAGCAACACTTTCTTTCTCTTTCCTTGAAGAAATTGGAAGAGGTAAAGTGTTTCGCTTTCCGGGAATGTCCACAGGGACTTTCGTTGTTGTTTCGCAGGATCTGTCGAGGCTTGCTTTCTTGAGTTGGCCACTTGCTACCAGACTCGTGCCTTCAGTTGAGTCATTGTTACTCTGAGAAATCTTCTTTTCAGAATTTACGCACTAGTATATCAAGAGTAATAAAGATATACGTTACATGCAGTGATTAATTATAAAGGGAAAGAAATRTCGATGAATTGTCATGTAGAATACCATAGAATAGAATGGAATTATCACAGTGTAGTTAAAGAGTGATAAAAATGTGTCACAGGCAATAAAGGGAAGAACTGTTGAAGAACTGTTATGTATAATACCATAGAATTAAAATGGAATAGACACAGTGAAGTTGAAGGGAAGTAGAATCCAAGTATATAAGTGGATGGCAAGTTGAAGGGAAGTGAAAAAAAAGTGAAAGTAAAGCAACATTTTCTTGATTTTCTTACCTCTATTTCAAGAGTTCTTCCAGAATCTCCAACATCCCCTTTTGCACATTCTCCATCTTTGCTAACGCTAAAATCGTCTGCCTTCAGTGATGTAACTGGTTTGGATTTAGTGGTCTTAGCTCTCCGGCTACTGGAAAGGATGTTTCTTGCTTTAGACTTCTTCGTTTTGGAGTTTCCATCTTTCTGGCCATGCTGAACATTAGAAACTCCAGCAACAGTAGAAGATAAAGTTTCTTCTCCATTTTTCTCTTCTACTCTTCGTTCTTTCTTGTCGTCCTTAGAGTTCTTGCTCTTGTTCTCCTTGTGCTTCTCCTTGTGCTTCTTCTTCTCCTTTCGTTCTCTTCGTTCTCTCTCGATTCTTTCCCGTTTTTCGTTCTTTTTCTTCGCTCGCTTTTCTTCCTTACTCATTCCACTGTCTGCTTCAACAAGTTTAGCTTCGTCCTTTCTTCCGTCACTTCGGTGAATATCTGGGAGTTTCACCTTCTTAAAAACATCAGCGTGCATGTCCAGAAGATCTTTGATGACGTCTGTGTTGGTGGGCGCCAACACCGAAGGGCCATCAGTGGACACCGTCTCCACATTGTATTTCTTCTCCTTCTTYGTTGTTTCAGTTGCTTGCGCTACGGGTTTTTTCGTTCGGCGCAAGATTGAAGGCAAATGTAGACGACTTTTACTAGGAACGACGATTTCTTCTCCCAGCGCGTTTGATTTGTCAAGACGCCCTTTTTGGACGGCGTCTTCRAGTAACCAAGTTTGCTCGATTGTTACGGTTGCATCCTTGGCCGTGTTTGGGTGCTCGTTGATGTTGTGTGGCACCGCATTTGATGGTATAATATTTCGTGAATAGAGCCCAGAGATGGTTGAAGTGATAGGTGAACTGTATGAAGGTACTACCTAGAGTTGAAAACATAAGCCGCAAATAAAAATGAAATAACGATGTTGTCCGCTCTGTTGGTAAAGCTTAGATTTTTGATGACTTTCTTTTCTCCTCCCATTCTCTCATCTTCTCTCGTCTTATTTATTCATTTCATTTTCTTACCTGTTCTACCCTTCCGCTTGCCGCAGAGAATCCACTCTTCAAGACACCGGCCATAATAGATCCACCCTCCTGCTCATTCTTCAGGCCCAATGTGTCATAAATTGCGCGATTAACTGTACTTCTTCCATCACGCAAAACTCCACCTTCATTTCCTACTTGTCTGTTCTCTATTTCATTTTCCCCCGTCTCAAAATGACGGCCATCAACTCGTTTAAGTGTGACAAGTTTTCCAAAAGCCGTCCTAAGACGATTCATGTTTTTAAACTAATTATTTTAATCCGAATTTTCGTTGAACGTACTATTCAAATCGTGAGTGATTAATTATGATGATCAATTATGTGGTTCGTCATAGGCGATCTTTATGACGTCGTGTTCTAATAACCTGTGTTATATGACGCGCGCGCGCGAGATTGGTGACAAACGTAAGAATGAAGAAAAAATTTACTGGGCTTCCTGTGTTTAAGAAAGGAAGGAAGGAAGGAAGGAAGGAAGAAACAACAAAATGACAGACCTTTTGTAATGCTGCCAATCCTAATGCAGGATTTTAACAAGCGAACTAATTTCTTTATTATAACAATGAACCACTTATTGCCCAAACACAGTATTAGTGCATTTTGTATTCACTGCTCAGACTTGAGAAGAAACCTTGCATTCATACAACTGATGAAACGTCTCCATAAAAAAAAAAAAGATCAACAAATGAAGCCAATGAAAACATATGATTGGTAATACACTACGAGCATGCGCAGTCTCTTTCAGCAGCAAGAACAGAGAGTTCTGTCCAAACCTCTAAAAAAACTCAAAGCTATCAATATTTTCTTTAAAATCTTTTTAAGATTAATATATACTCTTAAGCTAGCCCTTTTTAATCAATATTATATACAAACTTCATTCGTGCGTTTCTGAAGTCAAATTTCTTGTAAAAAGAAATGTTTTTCCTGAAGTAATTGATGTTCATTTTTCTGACCAGCAGAAGAAGAAAATACAAATAAAGCCTTTTAAAAAGATAAAATAAAATAAGGTCTTTCCGAGGTCGAGGGTAAGACTGGGTCGAGTTGGCATGGCAATGCATTGTGGGACTGTCTTAAAGGACAAAATAGACACCATCTTGGAATTAATTATGTAAAACAGCCCCAACTTGCACTGCACGATTCCAAATAGACCCTGTTTTTTTCCTAACACTGAGAATGGCGAATCTTAGGCGGCCCTCGTGTCGAAGCTAAATCCCAGTCTAATTTCTACGTAATATTTCAAAGTCGACAATGATGACTGGACGAGATTTCAAGTCCAAGCAATTAGTTCCAGTCCGAGGCGCAGCCAGGACTAAATTAATTTTGCTCCAGTTACAACAGACTGAATTTAATCCTTTCACAGGACTTTACCAGGTTTCAAGTAACAACATGTGACCCAAAAATAGCCCAATGATTGGCTGATTGTCTCATGAATTGTTAATGAGTATGAGAACTACTGATACACTCTGGTTTCTTTTTTAGGTTGCTATCGCCTCATTTAACCAGTGGAATTTGAATGGCAAGTTTACAGCAGTGTAAAGAAGCTTGGGAGGACAAATTACAGGCAAGTTTCGTAAATATTCATTTTGTTTACTTCCTGAATTTGATTCTCCTCTAGAGGTGTATTATTCATTGTCTCGCGTTTATTCTCAATTTCCTCATTAACTCCACTAAACTTGATTGGACTACCTGTCTTATCTTGCTTCATCCAAACTTCCGGTGTATCGTCGATTTTGGATTTTAGTTTTGTTGGGCTTCCTGTCCCACTGTGTTCAAAAACCGCTTGATTTTGATGGCATTTTGTTTCCATGGTTACTCTATTCGACCTTAATGGGCTTCCTGTGTCGGCACAGTTATTGTACACACCATTTACGTTGGTCTGGGCATCTTTGATTTGGCTGTTCGACTTAATTGGGCTTCCTGTGTTGGCATAATTAATGTACCCTCGATTTTGATTGGACTTAGTTTCTTTGCCACTCGACTTTATTGGGCTTCCTGTGTCAGCATAAATGTTAGCTTGACTTGACTTGACTTGATTGGGTGGTGCTTCTCTGGTTATACCATTATATTTGACTGGGCTTTCATTCCCTGAAATACAAGCTCCGTTTTCATCGCGCAGCGTTTCTTTGGCAACGTCGTTATTTTTCAAAGCGCAGGCCGATGTTTTGTGGTTGTCCCAGGCCTCTTCGACAATATCCTGAAATGATACTGATAGCGTTTTCAGCTTTTTAGAGTCACCTCTCTCCCCATCACCGCTCGAGATGTTCGACATTGAAGACGTTTGGGTCTCAGTTTGTAATTTTGCTTTTGCGACGCTTGATGCAAACTTTGATCTTCCCACCACACTTACATGGGAAAAGTTTCTGTCGAGAGAGTGGTTTGCGACTAAGGCTTTTACGTATTCCGAAGTGTTCTTCTCTGGAAATTTCAAGATGATGTATATTTTTGGAGCAAACATGCAGATGAGAAATCCGAACGAACTTAATACCACTATTGCAGATGAGAATGTGGTTAGAAAGTTCCCTTCGACGCTGTTTTGGAGAGTCGCATAACATATCGTACACATTAGCTGCATATACATTGCAAAGGCAATATACCGTGCCTCGCTAAAGTTTGCCGGCAAATTGCGGGCCTTAAATGCGTAGTAGGCACATAATACTGATAGGGCAAGCTGGTATGCATATAAAGTACCCTGGAGGGCTAAACCAAGGGTCTCTTTATGGTCACTGCAGCCAAGGTGCTTCCATCGTAAGGGTTCAATGGTTACATAAACAAATGGTGGGTCAAAGACGTGCCATATTGTTACCATTGCACCAGCGATGCCATTCAGTAAGAAAAGAATCAGGAACTGGCTGTGTTTGCTGTTGCAGAGCTGCCCAATATTTGAGGTAACAAAGCTGAATTCAAATATCTTAACCAAGCGATTCGTCTTGACGAGAAGAATCGATAGACAGAGGGTGTAGTAAAGTGCATGAAGTGGATTCAGGAAGTAACAGATGAGTTCTGTTGGTCTTGCGAGTTGAATCACGCCTGCAATGATCCCAACGACGATGCCAAATAAGAATAAAAAACTCATCTCTCGATTAGAAGACTTGACGATTGGTGTTGACCTGTAGCGAATTCCTACACCAAGCACAAACAGGACGGCTAGAAACCCAATCCCAGCGACAATCAGAATAGCAATCGATTGTGTGTCGTAAAATGTGACATTCACTTCGGGCAAATCGATACAACTTCGTTGTTCGCTGTCGGGCATTTTGTCTAGTGGGCATTCTGTGCAGTTAGGAGAGCTGTAAKAATTGCTTATAAACCCGATTGGACATTTTATGCACTTCCAACAACATGCTACTGTTGCTGTCTGCATATAACCTGGAGAACAAGGCTTTATACAAATGGACAAGGGAATCTTGTCGGTGCCATTGTTCCAGTACAAACTACTGTTATCAATTCTTAGCCTCTGCTCCTGACCTCGATCCCAGTTCCCTATGATCTTCAAATCTGGGCCATTAGTTCCCGGATGTAGATTAACAATATCATACGCAGCAGAACTTATAGAATCCCCATTCTTATTAAACTCAACTGAACCAGTCGTACCCTTAAAAGCCACCCCGCTCATATATCGTAACACCTCTTTCGCTCTTAGAAACGGTTTCGTTGAAGGGCATTCAACATTTTCCTTTTCAGTACAGCGGTATATAGCGTCAAGAGCATGCGCAACTGAATAAATAGCATCGATGACGTAGGCGAGGTATGCGGTGTACATGTCATTATAAGTTTTCGGCGAAATCTGAAACTCTTGGAAATTACAGTCTGATTCAGTTTGGCATTGTTTTTCCTGCATCCAAAATTCTCTCCACCAAGTATGGTTACGAACTCTATCATACGAATAATCTAACTTGAGCATATGTTGGTAAAAATTTTCCAGATTGTAATTTCTAAGTTTGGTCCCAACGAATCCACCAATGATTGGCAAGTACTGGTCTTTAAAGAGAGGTGTCGCTTCTGACCATCCCTCTGGAGCTAGCCATGTTTTCCCGTAAATCCCTTGTCTATATGCCTCCTGTATAAAATGTATTGAGGTGGTTGGACCACCCCACAGAACGAGAACTTTGATATTTTCGGCTCTTTTGATTTTGGATACAATTGTTGTGATTTTGTTCTGGTAGCCCGATGGTGGAAAATATGAGATTTCAGATATGCAAAAGGTGCCTCTTTCCTGAGATTCATTTTCTAGGGCCATAACACCGTACCTTCCGTACGACGTGTCGACTCCAATTACCATGACATATTTCCATTTAAAGTAATCAATAACATCTGCGAGTGCTTTTGCCTGCTGGCTATCAGGCGGAACAGGCCTAAAAAAGGTTTTAAAATACTGCAGACTTAACTCTTCGCTTGTTGCAAAGGGACTGATCTGGGAGATGTTGCCAACTTGTAGCATACTAGCGACAACTACGGAACTACTCGAGTCTCCAGTCCCGATTACAGCGGCAACAGGCTTCCGTAGTTCTCCGAAGAACTTCTTAAAGTTCTTGATGTCATTCGAAGCGTATCTAACTTGTGTTGCTTGATTCCTTGTGACGAATTCAAAGGCCATCTTGTTGGCTAGTGCAGGGGAATCACAACTGTCTACGATGTCATAACCAAGCGTGATGTTTGGCAGCAACGTGTTGTCTCTGTTTATGGACTCTATTGCATATAACATCGCCTCGACGTAAGCTAGTCCTTGAGGTTTCAAAGCCCCACAGGAATCGTCGGAATTTTTATGCCGAACGGTAAGCAAGGCTCCGAGAACGACTTCACCTTCTTTGTAAATGCCTTCTGCTTCAACAACTTGTAAAAAAGCCAGAGAAAAAGCTAAAAGAAAGCTTAGAACTCGAAGTAAAAAAGCCATTCTTCGGTGTTAATGTCAACTCATGTCATTAAGTCTAGGGTTGCGATATTTATATTGTTGGCTGATGTCATTATTATGAAAGCCCAGCAGCCCATCAATTTTCTCTCTTTAAATCTTTTGGGTAAACTGCCTTTACGGACTCATATAACGCGCATTGGCGTATTTGACACTTATCGCGGTATTCGCTAATTCTTATATACCACAACTGGTCCAATATGCAAAATTCAACTTAATGGTTACATATATGGAAACTTAGATCAGCAGGTTGTCTCTACTATTTTGATCAATTCACGAGGTCTATTGTCTTCTACCTCTTTGGTTATAATAATGTCAGCGTCTACGATCACTGTCTCCCACAGAAACAATAAAGCGTTGGAAACCGGCAGACTCTTATTAGAAAGAGGTTTTATTTAGATAGTGACATACACCTGAAAAAATAATGTAATTATCATTAAGTTAAAGGAAAATTGGTCCGATAATTCCATCTAGTAATTTTCGTCGGCACAAGAGAAAAGGAAAAAAATATTCGAACTAAGTCAAATGAATAACTCAGTTTCTTAACTAAGCTTTTTTAACAAAAGTCTAAAATCCTAATCCTCATAGTTTTTTAATGGTTAAAGGGGAGTCTTATTGAAAAGACTTAACTTTGCGAAATTAATGTACCGTTTTGCAAAGTCTCTATCTAATGATTTTTTAAGACGGTTTGTAAGGCACCGGAACCTTGGTATAAAGAGTTGGAGTTTGAAATGGAAAATCCTGTCGAAGGTTATCAAGTTTAATTTTTATTGTTTTATCTGGAACTCTGACTCTCTTAGAAAAATAGATTACCTTTTCAAGCACGTCTGTGCTATGAATAAGTACTTTCTGAAATGTTCTATAGACAGTAATAATTCTTTTTTTTTTTTTTTTCGTTCGAACTGTTGACAGTTGCAGTATGTGTGTAAATTATTGTATTTACTGATTTAGATGAAAGGAAACCCCGTTAAAAAAAAACACCAGATAAGATGTGTGATAAAAAATATGAAATTAAAATATAGCAGTAGCAGTAGCAGTAGCAGTAGCAGTAGCAGTAGCAGTAGCAGTAGCAATCATTGCTTCTTCGTAAACATCAAACGTGACACTCATGAATCGTGACAAAGAAAAAATAATTTTCTACACAGAGAGAGAACTTAATAATGACAATCTGAATAATTCCTTGCAAAGCCATCTTTCCGGCCCTTTGTTTGATTCTCTCATCGCTTAAAAATGACGGCAATGATTCGACGTGCGGTTAAAGTACTGCAATTTTTCATGGATGGAGGGAGGGAGGGAGGGAGGGAGGGAGGGATGGATGGATGGATGCATGGATGCATGGATGGAATAGGAATAGTAGTCTAAAAATAGGAAGTAATTAAACCACTAAAAATCATAACACGTAAAAATCAAAAAGCAATAACATACAACAAAATATATCTAATTAATAATGGGAAAAATTCAAAAAGCGAAATATAATTGTAATATAATTTTTAAAATTTATCAGATTTTTTCTATTTTTTTGTGGATAGGATAAAATTCATATTCTCGTAGTTGGCCGAACATGAAGATTGTCATTTTTTTTAAAGTTTCTGAAACAAAGTTTGTTTTGCTAAGTCAACAGTTCCATCTTTTTGTCTTTATAGTGAGATATTACAATAATCATGAAAGAAAAAAAAAAAAAAAAAAAAAAAAAAAAAAAAAAAAAAAAAAAAAAAAAAAAAAAAAAAAAAAAAGAAACTGGCATAGATAGATAGATAGTTATCGTTTGAATATCAAAAGCGGTAAGTTCTACATATTCAATAAATTCTATAATCGAGGGTAAAAAAAGTTCATTAACTGACACAATTTTATCTTTTTCGAAGTCTTTTTTAAAAAATCTGTGATGCTGAATAGCATTCGATAATGTGTCAATATTCTACTAGGGAAATTTATGCTTAGCCACTCGAAACTTTGTTTGAGGTCGGCAATAATCACAAAAAAAGTTCTGAACTAGATTTTCACAATCTCAGATTATTACTTTACCAATATGCCAGAATTTAGTTTTAGCCTTAAATAATTTAACAGCGGTTTATGAGACTCGATAATAGTTATAATTTGTTCTGAAATTTTGTAATTAGCTTGTGGAAAGGTCGGCAGACCGCGATAACAGAAATGATACGAAAATCAAAATATTATGGCTATATGGGTTAACCGCTTTGTTAAGTTCGTTTTTTATTCACTTAAATCTTATTTGCTTGAAGTGATGCCCAATAAAATGATGTTTGAGTATTATCACTTCATCAGAACGTAGCGGGGAAATCGGCTCCTAATCTTTCTCTTCCTTGATTTAAGAGTATGAAACTATTAAGATACTTTTCGGGGTTTTTTGATTAAATTTTTGTCAATGAGTGAAATTTATTACTTCTGATGAAATTACTTTTTATTGACTTATATTGTAATTAAAAATAGATTTCAGATATAAGATGCTTTGTAGGGAACCGGTTACAAATATAGTGGTGTGCCCCAGTGATCATTTTAGGTCCATTAACGTTAAATTTAATATCTTATTATTATCTTTTTCGCCCGGTCTGTTTGTCTGTCTGTCTGTCTGTCTGTCTGTCTGTCTGTCTGTCTCTGTCTGTCTGTCTGTCTGTCTGTCTCTGTCTGTCTATCTGTCTGTCTCTACTCCATCTTATTTACAAGATCTTTTCTCAAAAAGTAAGGATTCAAATGCTTATAAATCTAAATTGAGAAATATCGAAGATAAATTAGAAATTCAAACCATTCCAAGGACT